CTCCTAAAAATGAAAAGAAGGAAAGAAAATGGCAATCAGAAGGAATAATTAATTAGAAAAAGAAAAACAGAAAATGAAATTGCTTCCATGGTGTGGGAAAGAAAAAGGAGCAATAACAATTGCCTCAAATTACATAAATCACTAAATAGAATGTTATATTAATTGAAATATAAATACCTTAAAAATTGAAATTTTTTTTGAAAAAAAGAGAGTAAAATTCAGGCATAATGCATCTTGTACTATAAAATGGCAATTTTTTTTAAAGAAAGGAAAAGAATGCAAAAAGAGATCAACCTTTACATTTACTAGTAATTTGTTTGGTTTAATATTATTATTTGAATGTGTATGGGTAATTAATGGGTTTTCGCCCCATTGCTTACCAACAAACAAAATCAAATAGGGTAAGGACACTGAGCAAAGCAAAATTAGACAGTACCTGCCTTTTTTGCAGTCTGGCTATCCGATCTAAATCTGACACTTCGGAGTGAGGAATGCGGTCGATAAAGGGCTGGTAGTCTTCTTCGCAGCGTTTTGAAATAATTGAACAGTTGGAAATTGTCAATTCCTGCAAGGTAGTACTCTGGAGAATATAATCCGGCAACATCTTTAACTTCTCACAATAACGAATTGTCAAGGAAGAAAGACGTGGCATGATTGTGATATCCTCTTCTCCTCTGTTTCCATAATCCCACTCTTCCCACTCTCCCATCGTGTCAAAAGTCAGTGACTTCAAATTGGGGAAGGCGAAAACGGATGATGAAGATGGAGACAAAGACGTTTCTATCCCCAAAAATTCAACTCCCACCTTTTTCACTTCCCACACACAATCCATTGTGAGTGATTCTAGAGAAGGCAATTTCCCCAAAGAAGGCAAATGTTCCACGTGGCTGCCCCAGATCTCTATGTTCTTCAGGTTGGTTAATGGAGTTATCCAACTTGGGCTAGGCCACACAATTGGATTTGTGTGGCCCACTATTTCTAATAAAAATAACAAAAAGATAATTAGAAATAAATATTAAAAAATAGAAATATAACTATATAAGATTGAGTTTGTTTTCAAGATCTGAGGATGAGGAGTAACAAAAATTACCTCACATTACATCTCACATTTTTATATATTACAAAATAAATACTAAAAAAACTATTTAGAGTTAAGTTTTTATATTATTTTTTAATACAATTTATGTATTAATTAAATGATTAATTTTTTTTATTTATTTAAAATTTATGATATTAAATACATCTAGATATTTAATAACACATAAAAATTGTATAAAAAAATTATACAAAATATTATCTTTATATTACTACCTTAAATATTAAATTATTTAAAATATATATCTTAATTTAAATTTCTAAAATTATACACTAATTTCACCTATAATATAATGCACCTTATACTCCAATATAGTAATTTTTTTAAAACAAAAAAGGAACACAAAAGGATTGATTTTAGCCTCGCTCTTTTTTATTCTTTCTGTTGTTATTAATTTATGCATTTAAATAATGTGTTTACTCCTTATGCTTACCAAAAAAAAATTAAAAATGTTAATAAAAAAAATAAAGCAAAAGTGAAGTACCTTTTTCTTCTTCCACATCCATGTTAGGAATGTGAGAGATATGGGGCTTGCAGTCCTTTTTGAATAGATTTGAAATGACTGCATCTAATGAATAATTAATTATCAATTCCTCCAGGGTAGTATTTCGGAGAATATAATTCGGCAACATTTTTAGCTTCGGACAATGACGAATTGTCAAGGAAGAAAGATGTGGCATGATTTCTCCTCTGCTTCCATAATCCCACTCTTCCCACTCTTCCAACTCAAGCAAATTACTAAACTCCAATGTCTTCAAATTGGGGAAGGCAACAACGGATGATGAAGATGTAGACAAAGACATTTCTATCCCCAAAAATTCAACTCTCACCTTTTTTACTTCCCGCATACCAGCCACCGTGAGTGATTCTAGAGAAGGCAATTTCCCCAAACGAGGCAAATGTTCCACGTGGCTGCCCCAGATCTCTATGTTCTTCAGGTTGGTTAATGGAGTTGTCCAACTTGGGCTAGGCCGCACAATTGGATTTGTGTGGCCCACTATTTCTAATAAAAATAACAAATATAATCAGAAACAAATTTTAAAAAATAGAAATATAACTATAAAAGATTGGGTTTATTTCCAAGATTTGTGGATGAGGAGCAATAAAAATTACCTCACATTACATCTCACGTTTTTATAAATTATAAAATAAATACTAATAAAATCATTTAGAAATAATCTTTTTATATTATTTTATATTATTTTTTAATACAATTTATATGTTATTTAAATGATTAATTAATTAATTTATTTAAAATTTGTAATATTGAATATATTTATACATTTAATGATATAAAAAAACTGTATAAAAAATTATACAAAGTATTATCCCTATATTACTACCTTAATATTAAATTATTTAAAATTTATATCTTAATTTAAATTTCTAAAATTATACACTAAATTTCACTTATAATATAATGCACCTTATACTACAATATAATAATTTTTTTAAAACAAAAAAGGAACACGAAAGGATCGATTTCAGCCTCTCTTTTTTTTTATTCTTTTGGTTGTTGTTAATTTATGCATTTAAGTAATGTGTTTACTCTTGATGCTTGCCAAAAAATTTGAAAATGTCAATGAAAAAAGTAAAGTCAAAGTGAAGTACCATTTTCTCCTTCCACATCCATGTTAGAAATGCGAGAGATATGGGGCTTGCAGTCCTTTTTGAATAGATTTGAAATGACTGCATCTGATGAATCACTAATTTTCAATTCCTGCAGGGTAGTATTTTGGAGAATATAATCCGGCAACTTTTTTAGCTTCGGACATCCATAAATTCTCAAGGAAGAAAGACATGGCATGATTTCTCCTCTGCTTCCATAATCCCACTCTTCCCACTCTTCCCACTCATACATCCCACAAAACGTCAATGTCTTCAAATTGGGGAAGGCAACAACGGATGATGAAGATGTAGACAAAGACATTTCTATCCCCAAAAATTCAACTCCCACCTTTTTTACTTTCC